CATTCTTCCTGCTTTGGAAAGGGAACAAATTAACAAACAGGGAAAAATAATCTGCCAGCTACCCTAAGCCAGGAACCCAGGGCAGGCACAGCCCCTTTGCCTAGGCACGGGCATAACGGGTCCACGGACTTTGAATGCTTTTCACCCCTGCATAGACCTGTGTGGGCCCATTTCAACAGTGTAGGCCTTCATCAGCACAGTACAATAGGGTATATACCTGAAGCCTATTTTCATCTTTATCCACATCTGTGGAAAGAGACAATGGAAAAGCTCAATATCATCAGTTAGAACAAGGCCAGAGGCTGACTGTGGAAGAGACCATTAATTGCTCACATGCAAGTTCAAGTTGAAACTGAAGAAAATTAGAACAAGCCCACAAGAGCTAAAGTACGACCTTGGGTATATCCCACCTGAATTTAGAGACCATCTCAAGAATAGATTTGATGCATTGAACACTAATGACCGAAGACCAGATGAGATGTGGAATGACATCAAGAACATCATACATGAAGAAAGCAAGAGGTCATTAGAAAGACAGGAAAGAAAGAAAAACCAAAATGGATGTCAGAAGAGACTCTGAAATTTGCTAAAGTGAAAGGAAGAAATGATGAAGTAAAAGAGCTGAATAGAAGATTTCAAAGGGTGGTCAAGAAGACAAAGGAAAGTATTATAATGAAATGTGCAAAGACCTGGAGATAGAAAACCAACGAGGAAGAACATGCTCAGCATTTCTCAAGCTGAAAGAACTGAAGAAAAAATTTAAGCCTCGAGTTGCACTATTGAAGGATTCTACAGGGAAAATATTAAACGATGCAGGAAGCATCAAAAGAAGATGGAAGGAATACAGAGAGTCACTGTACCAAAAAGAATTGGCTGACGTTCAACCATTTCAGGAGGTAGCATATGATCCAAGAGGTCCGAACTGCACTGAAGGCACTGGCAAAGAACAAGGCTCCAGGAATTGACGGAAGACCAGCTGAGATGTTTCAACGAACAGATGCAAGAAATTTGGAATAGAACTACCTGGCCAACCAACTGGAAGAGATACATATCTGTACCCATTCCAAAGAAAGGTGATCCAACGGAATGTGGAAATTATCGAACAATATCATTAATATCACACACAAGTAAAATTCTGCTGAAGTTCATTCAAAAGCGGTTGCGGCACTACATCGACAGGGAACTGCCAGAAATTCAACCCAGATTCAGAAGAGGACGTGGAACCAGGAACATCATTGCTGTTCTCAGATGGATCCTGGCTGAAAGCAGAGAATGCCAAAAAGATGTTTACCTGTGTTTTACTGACTATGCAAAGGCATTCAACTCTGTGGATCATAACAAATTATGGATAACATTACGAAGAATGGGAATTCCAGAGCACTTAATTGTGATCATGAGGAACCTGTACATAGGTCAAGAGGCAGTCGTTTGAACAGAACAAGGGGATATTGCATGGTTTAAAGTCAAGAAAGGTGTGCATCGGGGTTGTATCCTTTTGCCATACTTACTCAATCTGTATACTGAGCAAATAATCCAAGAAACCGGACTACATGAAGAAGAATGTGGCATCAGGATTGGAGGAAGACTCATTAACGACCTACATTATGCAGATGACACAACCTTGCTGAAAGTGAAGAGGAGTTGAAGCACTTACTGATGAAGATCAAAGACCACAGCCTTCAGTATGGATTACACCTCACCATAAAGACAACAAAAATCCTCACAACTAGACCAATAAGCAACATCATGATAAACAGAGAAAATATTGAAGCTGTCAAGGATTTCATTTTACTTGGATCCACAATCAATGCCCATGAAAGCAACAGGCAAGAAATCAAATGATGCATTGCATTGGGCAAATCTGCAGTAAAAGACCTCTTTAAAGTGTTAAAAAGCAAAGATGTCACCTTGAAGACTAAGGTGCAACTGACCCAAGCCATGGTGTGTTCAATTGCCTCATATGCATGTGAAAGCTGGAGAATGAATAAGGAATACCACAGAAGAATTGATGCCTTTGAATTATGGTGCTGGCAAAGAATATTGAATATACCATGGACTGCCAGAAGAAAAAATCTGTCTTGGAAGAAGTAGAGCCAGAATGCTCTTTAGAAGCAAGGATGGCAAGACTTCGTCTCGCATACTTTGGACATGTTATCAGGAGGGACCAGTCCCTGGAGAAGGACACCATGCTTGGTGTCTTAGTTATCTAGTGCTGCTGTAACAGAAATATCACAAGTGTAAGGCGTTAACAAGCAGAAATTTATTTTCATCACAGTAAAGTAGACTAGAAGTCCAAAGTCAGTGCGTCAGCTCCAGGGGAAGGCTTTCTCTGTCTGCTCTGGAGGGAGGTCCTTCTCATCAATCTTCCCCTGGACTAGAAGCTTCTCCACACAGGAACCCCAGGTCCAAAGGACGTGCTCTGCTCCTGGCACTGCTTTCTTGGTGGTATGAGGTCCTCCTGTCTCTCTGCTCACTTCTCTTTTTTATATCTCAAAAGAGATTGCCTCAAAACACAATCCTGCCTCACTAACACCACTGCCACCTAACCCACCTCATTAACATCATAAAGGTAGGATGTACAATACATAGGAAAATCACATCAGATGGCAAAAAGGTGGAAAATCACACACTACTCGGAATCATGGCCTAGCCAAATTGATACACATATTTTTTGGGGACATAATTCAATCCATGACACTTGGCAGAAAAGAAGAAGACCCACAATGAGATGGATTGACACAGCGGCTGCAACAATGGGCTCAAGAATAACAAGGATGGTGAGGAAGGCGCATGTCTTAGTTGTCTAGCGCTGCTGTAACAGAAATCCCACAAGTGGACGGCTTCAACAAACAGAAGTTTATTCTCTCACAGTCTAGTAGCCTAGAAGTCCGAATTTAGAGCGCCAGCTCCGGGGGAAATCTTTTTCTCTCTGTCGGCTCTGGGGGAAGGTCCTTGTCATCAGTCTTTCCTGGGTCGAGGAGCTTCTCAGTGCAGGGACTCCTGGTCCAAAGGACGAGCTATTTTCCTGGCTCTTGTTTCTTGGTGGTATGAGGCTCCTCTGTCTCTCTGCTCGCTTCTCTTTTATATCTCAGAAGTAATTGGCTTAAATTGTAGATTAATCTTGTAGATTGCGCCTACATAACTGCTGCTAATCCCATCTTTTTAACATGCTGTGAACACGCTGCAAATACACCGAAAACACAAGCTAAACAAACTGGAGTAAACTGCACCCGCCTCCCTTAGGGGGACCGTTTTTCACAGTGCAAAGCCGTCCCACGCTGCCTTCCCCTCTGCACACATACGCATCCACTTGAAAAACATGACCGTGTGTTATGTCTTGGTTGGCTCCCTTCTGTTTTAAAAATCCTGTATTCCAAAAGAGATGTGCATATGAGGAAATGCTTGGTATATTTAAAATTTTAAATCAGGCTATAATTTATTTAAACCAAAAACACATGTGACATAGCTGAACCTTAACAATGCGCCGCCGCGCGAAATAAGCCGTCCACAAAAGGACAAACGCTGTGTGATCCCACCGACGTGGACTGGCTGGGGCAGGCAAACGCACCGGGACAGACTGTCGGTTAGAGGTTGGGGAGGCGCTGGGGGCGGCGGGGGAAGGCGGAGCTATTGTTTAATAGGTATGGAGCTTCCGTCTGGGGTGATGAAAACATTTAGAAATGGGTAGTGATGATGGCTGCACAGCATGGTGAATGTAATTAATGTCACTGAATTGTCCACTTAAAGGCGGCTGAAATGACAAACGTTTTGTTAGATATATTTCACCACAACAAAAAAAATGCAAGCTTAAAAAACAAAAAAGAACACATAGGAACTAAAAGGAATATATTAAGCACCTTGGAATGGTTGCCTTGTGGGGAGAGGGCAGGGGATGAGCTAAGAGGATAAAGAGATGTAAGTAAATAGACTGAAAGGGTCTGTGCGGACCAGAACAGAAAATGTGGCCTGCAGAGTGGCTCGGTTCAGTGGGCCCCTGCTGCTCAGCCCAGGAGAAAGGGAAGCAGATGCAGAATTGCAGGCCCACCATGACCCTGGCCTTGGAGCCAGCCTGCCCAACTTGAAATCTTTCAGCCTGAGCTGCTAGGGATCCAACGGAGTGGCAGATACAAAGTGCTTCTTAGAGGGCCTCCTCTGTTCTGGACAATCTTCTCCATGGCAGGGAGGTCAGGGACAATACAGAGGCCAGTCTCTGGGCTGGGTGGACGCACAGCCCCTCTGGCGAGGCCAGGGCCCCTATCTACCTGAGACCCAGCCAAGTGGCAGGAGTGCTAGCCCCTCACCCCATCAGTCCCACCAGGCCCCACTGACCATTGTCAAAGGATCTGATAACAGGCCTCACCCTGCAAGCCCCCTCCCCTCTCCTGACCAGTGGCCACCAACTGGCAAGGCCCTCAGCTCCATATAAGGAGGCTTGGGGGGAGGGAGTGAGTTTCCTTCAGAGTCTGAAGTGCCTGAAAGACAGGCGTCTGATGCGGTTGGGGGCTAGGGGAGGTTTCCCTGGAAGAAGCAACCTCTGAGGAGACCTTACTTGGTGGCAGGAGGAACAGACCCAGCGTCCTGACTGAGGCAGCTAGTCAAGTCCCCTGGGGGCAGACAGGGGTGAGGGGCCAGTGGGAGCTGCGTGCGCTGTAGGCAGGCCAGACTTCGGGGACTCAGATGGAAGCAAGGAGACAGCCACGGAGCCCGAACGGGGCCGAGGCCCAGGAGGAGCTGGGTGATGGGAGGGGTGTGGGTGCAGGGAGAGGGCCTCCAGCGGTGTTACCCCACTTCTAGCTCGCGCAAGCGGGAGAACTTAAAGTCAAAGAAAGGAGCCTGGGGGGAGCAGCGGGCTGGGGCGCAGGGGCTTCAGGAAGAAGTGTTGGGACGTACTGAGTTTGCAGGCCTGTGACAGGACGTATATGGGAGTCCTCGGAAAGGAGTGCCGAGAGGTTGGAGAGGGGGCCGCGCTCCCCTTCTGAGTTCACGCTCCAGTCCCCCAGGCTCTTCGCCAGCTACCCCCAGACCAAGACCTACTTCCCGCACTTCGACCTGCACCCGGGCTTGGCGCAGCTGCGCACGCACGGCTCCAAGGTGGTGGCCGCCGTGGGCGACGCGCTCAAGAGCGTCGACAACATCTCGGGCGCGCTGTCCAAGCTGAGCGAGCTGCACGCCTACATCCTGCGCGTGGACCCGGTCAACTTCAAGGTGGGCGCGGGCGGAGCGGGCCGGGATGGGCGGGGACACGGGGCGGGGACGGGGGCGGGGCGGGGGCTCGGACAGGGCCGCCCCCGCCCGGCACTGAGCCGTCCCCGCCTCCAGCTCCTGTCGCACTGCCTGCTGGTGACCGTGGCCACGCGCTTCCCCGCCGACTTCAAGGCCGAGGCCCACGCCGCCTGGGACAAGTTCCTGTCCATCGTGTCTTCCGTCCTGACCGAGAAGTACCGCTGAGCGCCGTCCCCGGTCCCCCGAAGACAGGCCGCGGCCCTTCCCTGCCCCACAGTTCCTCCCCGGAGTCCCCAATAAATGGATGAGGATGAACGAGTCGGGTCCTGTGCTCCGAGTATTGGAGGGAGTGTGGGGGAACTCGGGGATGGGACACTCTGCGGGAACGCGTTGGTTTGCCTGGAGGTAACCCCGAGGGTGTTTTGGGGGCGGGTCTCTGCCCCTGTGAACCTCCAGCGTAGCTGTCGCGGGTGCCAGGGGTGGGCAGAACAGCTCGGGCCCGCCCACGCGTCCTTTGGTCCGCAAGTGCGTTTGCGCCTCTCCCCTCCCAAATCGCCCAGATTGTCGCTTTGCTCAGCGCGTTTAGGGCGCGCCAGGACTCAGGGGACTGTTTCCCGAAGCTCGAGGTCACAGGCCGCGCGGCCCTGGCAGCTGCGGGGATCCTGGTGTGGCTCCCCCTCCTAGCCCCCGGGGGAAAGGGGCTCCCTGCCGGCGCTTTTCCTCCGGGTTCCCTCTGCGCGCTCCGGCCCAGGCAGGCACTTTTGTCCGCAGGGGAGTAATTACAGCTTTCCCCAAAGTCCGCAGCCAAGGTGCCCACGTGCTGCAGCAAGAGTCTGTGCCGAAAACCCAGGGACCCCCAGGCCTTGGTCTCCGCGGCACCGGCTGGCGGGGCTGGCGACGTTCCTCGCGCGGGCCGAAGGTCCCGAGTTCCCGCCACGCGACCGGGTCGATAAGAGGGGGTGTGGCGCTGGGGGGCGCTATAAGGAGGCACAGTGTGGCGGGCCCGGCCCCCACAGAACCGCCACGCCAGCGCCATGCTCAGCGCACAGGAGCGCGCCCACGTAGCACAGGTCTGGGACCTGATCGCGGGCCACGAGGCGCACTTCGGGGCGGAGCTGCTACTCAGGTAGACAGGGGCGGGGTCTCCGGGTCAGAGGGGAGGCGGAGACAGGGGTGTGGGGCAAATGGACCCCGAGGGGGAGCACCGGAGACCAGGCGCGGGCGGGGCGGGGGATCCCGGGGGTCTGGGTGGGGCTAGCGTCGGGTGGGAGGGGGAGACAGGCCGCCCTCCTGCTCACCGACCTGCACCTGCAGGCTCTTCACGGTGTACCCTAGCACCAAGACCTACTTCCCGCACCTGGGCGCCTGCCAGGACCAAGAGCATCTTCTGAGCCACGGACAGCGAATGCTCGCGGCAGTGGGCGTGGCCGTGCAGCACCTGGACAACCTGCGCGCTGCACTGAGCCCGCTGGCCGACCTGCACGGGCAAGTGCTGCGCGTGGACCCCTCCAACTTCCCGGTGAGTCCACCCGGCCGCGGTGGGGGTTCCGCGCCGAGCCGGGGATGGGGAGCGGGGAAGGGCAGAGCATCTCTCACTCGCCCCCTCCTCCTCCTCCGGCAGCTGCTGATCCAGTGTTTCCACGTGGTGCTGGCCTCCCATTTGCAGGACGAGTTCACGGTGGAAATGCAGGCAGCATGGGACAAGTTCCTGACGGGCGTGGCCGTGGTGCTGACCGAGAAGTATCGCTGAGCACCGCGCCCCGCAGGCCGGGGTCTGTGCGTGTCAATAAACGAGGCCTTGAACGTCAGAAACTCGCGTGTGCTTGGTCTTCGGGGAGGGAGCAGGCGGGAATGAGGTCACTGTTGCCAGGCAAAGAAGCTGGGGCCCCCACTGGGGCCTCCCGGAACCAAGTGACCACCCCAAGTTGTTTGACTAGAACACCCCGCCCTACAACAACCGCGGGCTTGGGGGTGTTCTCAGGATGTGAGTGTGCTTAGCTCCAACTCGACTAGGCACCTGGCGGAGCTGAACCATTGGTTGGCAAGGCACATCTGCATTGACTCATGCATTCATTCACTCATATTCATTATCTCATTCATTCATTCTCCCCTCCTTCCCTATCTGGCACCAGGAGCTTCGGGTGGGGATCTGGGATCTTCACCCCATTTTACAGAGGAGGGCATTGGCCCTGACCAAGTTCCTGGCCTGTGGCCAAGCACAGCTCAGGGCCCAGGGTTCCTTGGACCCTCACCCCTGTCCCCCTCCTGCTTCTTCTCTCCCCAGAATGCTTGGTCTGCAGCAAAACCTCGCCCTGGGCCAAGTCTGCCCCTTCCTCTGAACCTCATTGTGTGTGATGGGGGTGTGTGTCCTCAGAGGAGGACAGAGCAGGTTTAGAACCTGGTCCACACCAACAAGCTGTGACACTGGGTGACTAAGTCCCCGAGCTCTCTGAAGCCCCACATCACTGGGTCTTTGATATTATTCATGAACTCATAAGGCCCCGTGGTGCCTGACACAGGCTCAGTGCCTACCAGACCTTCTCCCCTGCTTGGGCTGATGGACCTCCTCGGCTCAGCCTCTGAGGGTCTCCCCACCAAGGCGCCACCTCACCCGTGCCCCCAGGCCCTGTCTCCCACTCCCCAGCCCTGGAGGAGAAATCTTGGGGCCCAATCCTAGCTTTTGCGGGGGAGGTAACCAGGGCTGGGGAGGGCCTGGGACTCTGGCAGCTCAGTAAACCCCGAACGAGGCGGTTTCGGGTCTGTGCAGGAAACCCTGGGCCCACTGCGGTCAGCGCCCAGGTCTAAGCGGTGATGCCGGAGGCTGGGCCCTGGCCGCAGCTCTGCCAAACTTTTCCCGCTGCCAGAGCCATCAGAACCTGTTAACCTGCGCGCCCGAGACCGATCGCCCATCAGCGGGGCAAGAGCCTGGAGGTGCTTGACCATACGTAACTCCTGCAGCCCCACGGTTTACACCGACAGTTAATGGCTTTGGTCCCGGGCAGAGTGCCGAAGCAGCTTGTGTTTCACTTCGGGAAGGCTCGCACCCGTTACCGAGCAGAACCATAGACGCGCGGATGCTGCTCCTGGCCTGGGCAATATGGGGGCCGCGGCGGAGTGGCAAACTGTGTCGGTTCCCGAAAAGACAGGAGAGGGGGCACAGTTCAGAGAGCTGGACTTTGGCTTGAGCTGGACGAAGT